AAAATGGGGAACAGTTAGATGCTTATAAAACATAAACCATTATCCATTTATCAGTGCACCAAATTAGGCATCAAAATGAAACATTTACAATGGCAATTAATCAGATTTTACTTATTATCATATAATACATAGAATTCAGAATCCCTTGGCAAGCTACTTAAAAGGGGGTGGAGAGCAACTGGTAGCTCCTGAGCAACAGGTTGGAGACCCCAGCTCTACTGAACAAAAGGTTAAATGTAGGTGTTAATTTGAAAACTACTGCTTCATGACATCACAAGGTGGAACAGAGCATTTTGAGCTTTGGCGATGTAGACAGGCTAATAATAACTTACTTAAGTTAGTTATTCAAACGTGTGAATTAAACAAAATATAACTCCAAGTTTGTTTTTGATGTGGTAACAATATTCTAACATTCCTTAAAGCTTACAAGAGTCAATTTTATGTAATTTGGGATCTTTAACTTGTAAATTACAGACTAACGAATACAATATACAGCTAGATTATTCCACCAATAAAAACTTCTTTGTAATTTAGCTCACAATATATAGGCCAAACAGTCCCTGCTGGGTAACCCTATAACTCACACTGTACAAGAATTTTACATTCACTGAACAACATATGGGTATTTTTTTCTTCATAAAATTCAAGTGTAGCAAAACAGCTGATAAATAATTGGAATAAAACCCCAATAGCGTCCCTCATTGTAACTACGCAGTTCTAAATCCAATACTGAGGCAAAGCGGAGACAATGGCACAGTGATTACTCTGACCATTCCGACAGAAGGGGCCAAATTGAGCGTTAATATTTGTATAAGTGACGCTCGGAGCTGTGAAAAGAACAAAATTACACCACACTATTTTCCATTATGTTAGCAGCAGTAGCAGTGGAAGGAGGCTGAGCAAATCCCGACCGCTCCCTATGGACTGACTGCAAAATCCTTTCAATCTGTTTTGTTGGAGGATTTGCAAGAACAACACGGAAGTCTATTTGCCTCATATGCGGATTTCTATACGGTCACTGTAATAAGCAGTGGTGGAATGTAATGAAGTAAAAGTAGTACGGTACTGTACTTGAAAGTGCATTGCGTAACGTGGGCCTGTCAAATGCTTTTCTTCATGGAGATGTTCTTGCTATTGTCTGAAATGTTTCACAGTATAGTTAGTAGACAGTACAGGTATTTTTGAGCTATAAAACCACCTGTAATTGAATAAACGTAAGGTAGAGCAGTTTAAAGTCATACTGTGGAACATTCCAGGCAGACCAATGATATATCCATAGAAGCAATTATCAGTTAAATAGTTTAAAAATTCAGCACCTCTGTATCAAAATCACTACATTTGAAGCTTTATTAGAGCTTAAAATCAGTGTGAAATACTTCAACTTTTTGTGCTTTATGTACATTTTTAAATATTTAGTACTTTTACTTAAGGAGATTTTTCATGTGATACTTTTACTTGAGTATTTTTTGCTCTTGCATCTATACTTTTACTTAAGTACCGACTGCTGAGATAATGCTACACTAATCTAGATAGAGTTTCTTTTAGCTATATGCGTTTGTTCATTTACAGGAGCAGCGAGACGTGTCGCTCTGAGTTTGGGGACACTATTAAACGCACGCAGATACAGTCTGGCAGCTGCGGGGGTTTGATGGGACTACAGAGGAGGAAGAGGAACCAATCAGGTCTGAGCTGCACAAGGGCTTCTAATGGGGGATTGAGTTTGAGAGTCTGCAAGCTGGTGTCAGATTCTAGTTTACACACTGCATTATGCAGTATACAAAACGATGAGGAAAAAGGAGCATTACGAATACATTAAAGGTCCTATATTTAGCAGAAGTGACACTTGTGAGCTTTAAACCATGTTATAATGTTGTTTCCTCATCAGAAACATGGAGTTGTGTTTAGTTTCCTTCACACATGTAACACTTTATTATTATTAGTCTATCTACTAATGCTAACTTGACTGACCCCTTGTAAATATATACAGTGATTTTCCACCTTCAAGGCACTCAAAAGCGCTTTACCTCAAGGGACCACTCACCCATTCACACACACAGTCGTACACTAGAGTATGCAGACAATGCAAGGGGGGTTAAGTGTCTTGCCTGAGGACACAACAATGGTAGCTGGATACGCACTGCAAACCTGTTGTTCAGTGGATCTGACTGCTCAACCTGATGTTTATGTGGAAAGTGGGATTCAAACCGCCAACCTTCAGATCACTGGACACTACCAAAAGAGCTACTGTCACCTCCAAATACTAATTATGGTCAGAATTTGTATCTGTCACCCATTTATTGGAAAACTATTATCCTATCTTACCTTCATCACTGCTAAACATGTAGCCTAGTAATGAAATCATATCAATGCAATTTCAATCTAATTTATTAACAGACAGAGCCTTGGGGGACATAGAAATAACACCAAAACAGTAGACAACGTTTCAGTAATATCTAAAGCTTACTAAAATACTTTGTTTTCACATTTGTGTGCGCAAAATAGGCATCAATTGTCTCAAACTGATCTGTCTGTAACACCCTGATGCTGCATATTCCCTACTGACTTGGGATGACTGAATATTTAAATTGAATTATGTTTAAAGCAGTGGCAGAGAAAAAAATACTTGATTTTTATTCACTGTCAGCACAAGCTTCTGCAAGGTTCATTGTAGAATATTAAGCAATTTTCTGGTTAAGCTGCTGTAAGTGCTTAGGTTAGCATACATTTAACTACAGTTTCCCCAGGGCTTCATCAAAGACAAGACTGCTCAATAAACATAATGTATTTAGATGCACTGAGGGCTTCTGACACCACTATGCATGGACAGAGAGAAAAGTATTGCAGTATTTGTAGATATACTGCTTTTTTCTACCTATCTACTGGTGAATAAAATTAAAAACATGCAGGCACAAACTTACTGAAGCAGGTGATGTAGCTAAGCTTTACATTTCCATATCCCAGGTGTAGGCTAAGATTTATGAGCACAAGTATGAATTTAGATAAGGCAATCTGGAGGAAGCATAAGCCTTCACATGTTCAGTTTTAGTAAAAAGTATGAGAAAAATGATCATATTCACAGTTTTCAAGTGATCAAACATAGTGACAATAAATTAGCTTAGATATTTAACTCAGGGTTTCATAAATCAAATGTTCTGCAAAGAATCCACAAAATGTTCATTAGATTCATTAAACAAAGCTGTGAACATTTTAAAGGTCCTGTATTATGCAAAATTTACTCTTGTGAGCTTTTAAGCCATGTTATAATGTTTGAGTTATTAGTCTGTCTATATGACAAATGCTAAAAATGCTCTATTCCACCTTGTGATGTCATGAAGCGGTAGTTTTTAAGTTAACAGCTACGTTTTACATTTTGTTTAGTTGAGACTAAGATGGTTGAGGTCATCCAAATGATTCTAGTGAAGGTGTAGGGAATTTTAAATGTGGAACCAAGTGTTTTCAGTTTGAGAGAAGAACTCGTATTTTGGGTTTGTGTGTTGTGTGATGGAAACAAAACACAACTCCAGGTATGTCTGTGATGAGGAAACATTATAACTTGGATCAGAAAATAGTGTAACATGGGCCCTTTAAACATTAGCATACCACAGACTAATCAAGAATTTCAGTGAAGCGGCACAATCCTAAACGCCATACAGAGACGTCAGAGTTACCAGGTACCAGGGTGACATAGGTGTAAGTACTCTGTGTTTTTCACCTGTTAATTCAGGGTGGGAAAAGGCAGTTCAAGGCCAATTACGTTAAGAGAAGAGAGAGAAAACTAGAAGCCCTTTAACAAAAGCTATATTGAACTTACATCTGTATTGATAGAGATAAAGACTTTGTTTGAATGTCTCCAGTACTATACAGTATTCATTGGTCTCAGCTTCTTGTTACATACAATATTTTTCCTTTCAAAAGATATAATATTTTGTTTTAAATTGTTAATTGCTATGGTATAATTTTTTGGTGTCTGTACTTTACTTAAGTTAAAAGTTAAGTTTTAAAGTGAATACATTTTACTCTTACTTCACTACTTTTGAGAGCAGGTATCTGTACTTTGTAATCCACTACATTTTTGGACTGAACTGAAAAGAAAAAGTATTTTTTTAAATTACTGTTTGAGACCTGATGAAAAGGCTGAGAGTTTTATTTTTAGTATGTTTATAGTTTGAGCAAACGCAAATATACATTGCAAATAAAAACAGCTGGAATAAACATTCAGTCGAATTGAATTCAGTTGTTTCTACTAAAAAATTCAACACAAATCTTTATCAAAATATGAAGCCTAATAAGACATCCAAATACTACTAAATACTTTGACTCTTCAAGTACATATTTAAACAGGTACTTTAATAATTTTTCTTCAGTAGATTTTTCATGTAATACTTTTCCTTCATTTTTTTTTCACGCTGGTATCTGTCCTTTAACTTAAGTAACAAAATTTAATACTTCTTCCACCACTGCTTATATGCCCCTAAATGTCTATAAATCTGACAAGTCTGCAAAGCCGATGTGACTGTTTCAATTGAATAAATCCTTTTACTTTTGCACAAAACCGGCATTCAAAGTACTCACACCAATTTCAGGCCCTAGTAGTCTATACTGAATGGAGTAATAACACACAGTTTAGGCTTGTGAATCTCTTTCAGTTATAACTATCGAATTAGCCGTAACTATAGAATTTCTCAGTCGTGAATCGCGTATCCTTGCCACCGATACCCCCATCACTCCACTCCACCCTCTCGATCCTAATCACATAATATCCGTGAGTAAGAGTCCCAAAGGTGGAGGAAGATTAAGCTCAACTGAACATTGCCAAGAAAACCCAGCTCGCAGTCAGTCTCACAATTAAAACCAAAGCAGCTATAAAGATTTTAACTTGAAAACGTGCACGGACATGTGACCATTACAACGGGCAACCATGCAAAGAAAGACTGAAGAAAAGAGGAGCTGTATTGAGAGAGACAAACCCACAAACAGAAAACAAAAATCTTGGCACTCACCTTGAAGCTCCAGTAGTTCGGTTGTTGCTGGGAGGTGGAAAAACAAAGGAGCAAAGGAGACAGAGGGGAGAGAGAGGGAGAGGAAAGGGATTGAACGTTAGACATTTTTGTCATGTGCTGCACTAAATAACACTCTGGCCATAGTAAAACAAATGGAGCAAGAGGAATGGCTGGGTGCAAACACAGCTAAGTGGGAGAGCTGGGGGAAGCTGGTCTCTAAGTGAAGTGACACTGCAGTGGGCTTTCTCATGGCACACATAAAACTGCCTGGGGTAATTTCTATTTTATACTAAAGAAAAAACTACTTTTAATTTAATATTTGCATTATTCAACAAAATCTTAAAGGGCCCATATTTTCAGATCTATGTTATAAGGTTGTTTCCTCATAAAAAACATACCTGGAGTTGTGATTTGTTTCATTCACACATGTTTAACACAAACTGAGTTGCTGAGTTCTTCTCTCAAACAGAAACACTCCAGTTCCACCTAATAATGAACAATTGCTCAAACTTATGAATGAAAAAAAACACAACTCCGGGTATGTTGTTGAGGAGGTAACAAGATTATAACACATCTTAAAACTCACAAGTGTCAATTCTGGGTAATATAGGACCTTAATATAGGACCTTTAATCAGAAGTTGAGACATAGTGATTTCATGTAATGATAATTGTACAACTCAAATGTTTAGTTAAAAGGTGCTATCCTTCACGCACAAAAAGCCTTGGAACATGAAAATAAAAGAAAAGATATTTAACTAAAAACACACACAAAATATAGCATTAAATACAGTGCAAGTTAATGCTCTAAGATGCACTGAGAGACCTACAGGTGATGAAAGGTTCGAGGTCAGATCTGTGGAGAGGCAAGTCTATTCAGCATAAGAATGCAGATTTTTCACACTATTGAATAAACACAAGATCAATTAAATCCCATTATGTGGAAAATTCAAGCCAAAATGATGATGCCTCCCTGGAGACAAGCAAGTGGCAGACCCTGTACCATAAATGTTACACAGTTCAACTTTAAACTTTAAGCCATGCATGTTTTTGATTTTTTTTTTTTTAAGTTTCTGACCTAATCAAAAACACTAGAAAAGCACTCAGAGAGTACAGACCTCCACCAAGGACTACCCCCATTTTTTATATAAATTGCGATAAAATCAGTCTTCTGGATCAGATCCGGATCAGCCTTTGGAATATGAAAGAGGATCCCATTGTCCATCCCTGGGTCAAATTTCATGGGGTTTGGTCAATAATTAACGGAGATATTGAGAAACAAAATTTTTGGCCCCATTTACCACAATGTTAACTAAAATTTCAAAGTGATCCAGAATCCAGGATTTCTTCCGGATCACCCACAAAATGAATTCAGTTCTTCCTTTTCACATTTCCAACAAATCCTGAAAATTTCATCAAAATCGGTCCATAAGTTTTTGAGTTATGTTGCTAACAGACAAACAAACAAACAAACAAACAAACAGACAAACGCCGGCAAAAACATAACCTCCTTGGCGGAGGTAATAAACAAAAACAAACAATCAAAAACATGTTTCATTCACATGTGTTTGAGTAATACTGTATTATTAATCTGTCTACATCTCCAAAGCTCATTTTTGACCTTTTGTTCAGTAGAGACTGGCAATTTGAAATGATCGAAATGCTTCTAGTGAAGGTGTGTGAAACAGAGTGCTTTCAGTTTGAGAGATGATCGCAACCTAAATTTGCAGGGTTTAAGTGTTTAGCATGTGTGAATGAAACAAAACACAACTTTGGGTATGTTTCTGATGAGGCAACAACATAACAGAGATCACAAAATAGCGTAATATTGTCCGTTTAAACCTGCACTTTCACAGAAGAAGAACAATCTTGTGAATCTATTGGATGCTTGCTGACACAGACTCAGTTGCCTCCAGTTCAAAGCATTAGCACATTACTGATCATGTTTTCAAATGGACCACATTAGATCAGACCTCATGCCGACAAACCACAAATGATACGTCTTTTTCCATATTTATCTCTGTGGCAGCGTGATGGGCTAATTATCTCCACGATAGCCAGATGAATTTACGTTGTCCTTCACTGCCATCATAATAGGACTTTAATTGCCTGTAATTGCGTCTGTGTTATTAATCAAATGTTTACAGTGACTTTGTGCAAACTAAGGAAAGAAATGAGAGTCACTGCCAGCTCCCTCCGTGCGGCCTCCTCAGAACTTGCACAGGCTCCGGGCCAAAGCAGGATCACACTTACAAACACTGGATTAAGGCACATTTCACTTCATTTGGGAGGGGGCCAATTTACAAAGACACAGGTTTGTTGCCCTTATGTGTGTCCAATAATAACTTACAAAACTGCATGTTCACATAACCAGTAAAAGCTGAATTCTCTCAATGTTTGTGAATTAATCTGGACCGGCTCCGACCAATCACAAAGCAGCACTTGAGGTTTGTGTGGAAGCCAAAGGTGAAGAGCCCAAACGAACCAAAACAGACAAGACAATGCTAAGAGATGTACTTCAGGTTATTAGAAAATACTGAGAAATACTGATTATTTCGCTTTTGAAAAACATGCAAAGGGAAGTGCTTTGTGCATTTGTGGATGGGAAAGGTGTCTACGTGTTTCTTTTAAGTGGATTTAACAAGTTAACAAATTCTCAGCTTGTTCTGCTGTTGTAACGCTTCCACCTATAAGTTTCAAGTATTCGTCATGACGTTCCACACTTTCCACTGAGCAACAATTAAATGGGAAAATCAATACAGTTTAACTAACACCCAATGTTTAATTGGGTGAATATAAAAAAAATACTTAGTAAAAGTTTCAGTGAGTTAGCTGGAATAAATACAGGGAGTTTCAGAAATTTATCTTATCTCCAAAAGCACTTTTCATTTCTGAGGCAAAACTGACCATCTCTCATCATGTCACTGAGCTCTTTTAGCATGTGTGGCACTCGTTATGGCCACGGATGTTATAGTGAGCTTGTGTGAGGCAGTTAAAGAAGATGAAATTGTTAATAGTTTTAGAAAATATAGCACTTCGATCATGGGTTCATTACCACGAGGAAAGACATTTTTCCCAAAACATAATTCAAATGTAGGCAAAATTCTAATATCTATTATATTCATTCATATCTTAAAACTGAAACAGAGCTCAAATTGGTGCACAACTCAGTGTTCATCAGTATTTCTCTCAAACAGCCAATCAACCACAGCAGTCTAACATTTAAATTCATGAGAACAGATGGCTGCAATTTTAAAACAACACAAATTACTACATCGTGGAGCCATTCTTTTCAAAATAGGATTCATCGTTGCTTCTGATTTCCGCAGACGTCTTTAGAATTTCATCATTTTTCCCTTTTACAGATGTGCCAATTTCCATGCAATATCACAACCAAAGCTGCTGTTAGATTTGGCACATGTAATCATTTATACATACATACATTTTAAGCAGCCTTGCCTTGTCAGAAAAACTAAATATATCATACTTTATTAGCACTCTGTCAATCTTCAACTATAAATACTCAGTTGAAGGCAAGGTGAAAAATAGGCATGAATCATTGACACTGGCATCAAATTGACAACTTCTGTATTATTATTTTTTTTATTATGAGATTAAGGTCCAGCCTCATCTGAAAAACTGTTGTAGAAATGTCATTCCCTTAAATATTAATCTGAGGTGTAGGTGTATCTCTATTTACCATTTACCAACTGTTCGGGGAGATGCATGCACCCAAATATTTGCTGGGCTCTGGTGTTTGCGTGTGGTAGTTTTGGAAATTGTGAAATGCAGGAGGAAGGAAAAAGGAAGCGATCCCGACTATGAAAGAGCAACAGGCCTGTGGGCTGCTCTGACCCAGATCCACAGAGAGAGAAAGAGAGAGGGGACTGCAGTTATGGATACACTAAATTACACACGGGGCATGGGAAATGGTCAACTTATTAAATGTACTGAAAAGACCAAATATAGTTAGGGTTTATGCTGTGCTTTTCATATTGAGAGTTTGATTAGGTCATGTTATTATTACAAATGACACAGGATGTTTAGAGGCTATCCAATTAGGAGCAAGATTATAAATTTTGGTTGGATTCTGTTCATTTTGGCCAAGGGCTTTGGTCGCAGGATGCATGCGAGACAGCAGACTGGTCACAGAGAGTCGAGAAATTAATTAGCGGAAAGTTAAAATTTAAGCCAAAAAAATCTACGGCAATTTCGTTTGATTCTTATATTGAAACTGATACTGAAAAGACATGTCCGTGATTAGTCAAATAAAAAATATACAGTATATGAGGATGGGGATGCAGAGCAGTTTCAGTTTTTTTCCGACATTGTTTTTCACAAGTAACCAACAACAAGCGCAAAATGCTTCATTAATATTGGCAGGGCTTTCAACTAGCATCTTTTAGCATTGCAAGTACATGTCTCCCACTGAGTCCACATTTAGGCTGGGCTAAATCTTGAATTGATCGATTGCAAGACTCTTCCACAGATATGTATTTTGAACACTCATTTTGTTGCTTCACACATTGCAACATATGTTTTGTTATTTTATGAGGCAAAACAGTAATATATTTCATCAGCATTCTTGAAGCTAAAGAATAATATCGTGTTTAACCTTGCTTGTAGCACAACTTACTAACAAATACTTACTAAGCGGTAAGAAGACCTTGGGTAATAAAACTTAGCAGTGTTTCATAGTGAGTACAAGGTAGGTCTCGGTATGTGCAGCTTTAGTTTGATCTTATATAATATGAGGTGAAATGACTGTCAAGGCACTTTGTGTTTACTCTTAGGCGACAATTAGACTAGACAACCGGCAACCATCAGAGGAGTCTACACCAGAGCAAATGATGATTCCCTGACAAAAGCACGAGAGCCAATCACTGTACAGACCCTTTAAAAATCCGGAAACAAAAACAATCTAAATACCAGAATGAAGGCAGTTGGACGCCAAAGTGAAGAGGAACATAATGTGATTTCAATGGGAATACTGGAATTAACCTCAGACTATCACAAAATATGAAAAATC